GTGGTTAAGAAGTAAAATCTTGGAATCTCTCTTGGCCTGACTACACTGCCCTGCTACATTTGCACTGATGTAGGGATAGCCTGGAAGACTGCCAACTAATGGGGAATAGGGGACAGAGTTGCCACCCTCTTTCTCTAACATGCACTGCCTTCCTGAAAGCTTGGAGAGAACAAACAGGACCAATATCTCTCCTCCTCTCTCTTTCTTCTGCCCACCATTTCCTTGACCACAAAGTGGTGAGTTTTACTTCTAATTCTCCTTTGTCTTAAACTTCTGCTGCAAAGGAGTGCCAGCTGCTCTAGGTAAAGGGAGAATTCTGTGAGATGAGTCTTCCATACTGGGATTTTGATATTCTAATGGGGAAATGAAGGAATACGGAACATTCTTTCTCAAGATAATAGTCTTTTCTGCTACCTAATCCTATATAGCATGCAGAAGTGGAATGTTGGTACATTTTTTTTCCTTTAAATTCCTAATCTAAATCTTAATCCTAATCTCTCAAGCATGTGAACACCTTGGCCTAGCAGGGCAAAGAACACATGCTCAGAAAGGCAAAGGAAAAAGGCACATAAATTTTCATATTACTACACTTACACACACACACACACAGACTTAATTAGAATTATAATATGTATATTTAAAGTTCAATATTTTTAGGTATACAAATAATAAATGACTATATCCTCATTGTAAAAACCAACCCACCCACTGTTTTAGAACTTACTTTTGTTACTTCAAAACATGGTTGTGCATGTGTGTGTGTATGTGTGTTTACCATTTTCCATGTAATTCAATATTCTGCTAAAATATGCTTTTCAATCCCTGTCCCACTAACCAGTGAATTTTTACACACTTAATGAATCTTTAGCCAATCAACTTTACTAGGCAGATGAAGTTGCTTCCAACTTAATCTGAGATAAACAGCCTTTTGGTTTTTTTTTTTTCTTGGTATAAATTTCTAGGCGTAGAATGGTTGAGTTAAAGAATACAAACACTTTTGATGGAAAATGCTACAAATTGCCTAATTATCCTCAGAAAAGTCATAACGTTTTCTAGCTCCACCAGCAGTACATGACACTTGCCCATTTTTCTATACCTTCTCTAAATTTATGATTTATAATGTTAAAATTATAAATTTTATACTTGTGAATTTTAAAATACTTTATGTTAAAATATCTTTACTCAGCTGGTAAACAAATATTGCTTTAAATTTTCATTTCCTTGAGTACTAGTGAGATTAAAATTTTAAAATACTTTATGTTAAAACATCTTTATTCAGCTGGTAAATAAATATTGCTTTAAATTTTCATTTCCTTGAGTACTAGTGAGATTAAAATTTTAAAATACTTTATGTTAAAACATCTTTATTCAGCTGGTAAATAAATATTGCTTTAAATTTTCATTTCCTTGAGTACTAGAGAGATTAAAATTTTTTCATGTTTCAAGTATGGATTGATCATTATGTTTATTACTTTAAATAGTATTTTCAGATGAGGAAATTGAGGTTCAGAAAGGTTAAATGACTTCTTCAAGGACACATAGCTTCTATAAAGTATTTAACTTTTTTTTCATATTCTACAGTGAAATAGGATTGTTCTTCAGTTTGTCAGAGTGAGCAATAAAGCCCAAGTGGCAAAATTCTGTTTAATCTAGGAGTTCGAGAACATCTAACTAATAAATCTCTTCAGGCAAAATCATCTTTATCAAATATTGCTTGGAAAATTATTATAAAGATTTAATGAATTACATTTCTTTTATTCTTTAATTTATAAGTCTGAGGTAAATTAAATCCAGATCAAGACTGGAAGATAAAGAAGAGATTGCTAAAAAGGGTGTCTAAATATGCTTATAGCACCTTTCTTACCATCTGTCAGTCATGATATGGCTGGACAGCTGTAGATGCTGAAGGAGATTCTGATACCCCATGATTTCCTTCTCCCCATTACCACAGCATGATGACAAAACAACCAAGTGAATATGTTTTATGATAGTAGAATACAACCAGCAAACTATTTCTAGAGATGCTCAGAAGCTGATGCCTTAATTCTTATTTCTGAATGCCTTTTTAATTTCTATCCCAAATAATATAGAAGGCCAGGCTGTCACCTGCTTGTTTAACCTTTTGTGGCAAAGCCAAAGACTCCTCTCTTTAATAACAAGAGAGTCCATGAGTTAATATTTTTTAAAATTTCACTCTTCTGAAATAAGAACTTAAAGTCAAGTAGAAAGAATTGTTAGAATTTTCCCCCTTCAATAGATGTTAATATTAAAGAAAATGGCAGAGTTACTGCAATGTTTTTTTAAAAAAAACTCACCAAA